TGGCCACACCAACTCCAATAAAAACATATGCTTTTTCTTAAGCACACAACTGGCATTAGTCACATCTCTTCAAAGCAACAATATTAAATGTCATCCACTTCTGAATTGAGAACTTTACTTCAGTAAATTCAGAGCAAATTATTGCCCATTTTTCACAGCCCAACAAGTTCACAGATTAAAAGAAATCCTGAAATTACAACAAAGCTCTCAAAACAAAATTCACAGGTCAGCTTTTTCTTAAGCACACAACTGGCATTAGTCACATCTCTTCAAAGCAACAATATTAAATGTCATCCACTTCTGAATTGAGAACTTTACTTCAGTAAATTCAGAGCAAATTATTGCCCATTTTTCACAGCCCAACAAGTTCACAGATTAAAAGAAATCCTGAAATTACAACAAAGCTCTCAAAACAAAATTCACAGGTCAAAGATATACCTGAAACGTCCATGGAGGACATACCACTTCTACAACTTTAGCAACAGAGAAATACCTCTAGGAAAACAAAGTTAGTCAAAGTTTCCTTGTGGGCCTGTATCCCTAATTCTGTATTTATGGCCATGAATTATTAAGCTATGTACTAGGAACATCAATACACCCCAGGAGGGACATGACTCCTCTACAGCTAGGGTGCTTTACATGAGAAAAATCACGTAATTTATAAAACACTGCAGCGCACACACTGACCCAGCTGATGTGAACAGACAGTAAGAGATAAACCCACATCTGTGCCTAGCAGTAAAGCTAGCCTCAGTAAACTCACATCAAAATCTGGGACCTCCTGCATACGCTTCTTGTAAACACCTTTCCTACCACTGCCAGTTGTAGAAAGAGGCTTTAAACATGAACTTTTACTCTGGAAGCTCTTTAGCATACAGAGTTACTATGTAATTAATGCCAAACATTATCAGCAATGACAAAGGTATATTTTTCTGTTTTAATTTTTCTGGTACTCTCATGATCAATACATTTCCTGTCTATCACAGGAGATGGTCACTGGGATGGCCCCACAGCTTCCAAGGACTAACAGAGCAGTTGAGTGTGAGCTTCTCTTCCAACGGCCATCAACTGGAAGCAATACAGACTCCATCCTTTACACCAAACATCCAAACCATTCTCCGCCCCCATTTCAAGATACCAAAATACCCACTCTCCTTTTCATGTCTATAGGGTCACCAATACACAGTTAAAGATCTGCTCTACATATGATGATATGGAAAATTATTTACTATAAGTAAAATACACATTGGGATTCCATAACATAGCATGAGAAGTTGCAAACTAGCTATAGTAATGCTTTTGTCCTATAAAACTCTAGCTGTTGTGCACATGGAGCAGAAATAAGACCAAACATGCTACGTAGAAGTTTAATATATAGTCTACCTAGAACTGTCATCAAATGCTCATAGCCAGAGCTATGATATGTTTCTCACAACAATTTAAATTGGTTCCACAAGCCAAGGGCTATTTGCTAAACACTCATTACTAAAATAGTATTTCCTGCATTCTGTCACTTCACCTCTCTGCATTTTTTTATTCACACATAGTTACAGTGACAAATAACAGATCAGGGACACTATAACTAAAAAACTAAACTCCTTATCCATCTCCCCCATACCATCGTCCCCCATTCACACGTCTTTGTCCTTATCATTCAAGTCTGCAGCCCAGGAGGTCATGTGCCACTCATTCCCCAGGGTCAAGGTTGTGGTCAAGTTCTGGTGCTTCTAAAATTCGCCCTCTTTCCTTTCTGTCCAGCATCAGTGTGCCCTCAACCTTGCTATTCCTCTGACATTTGCACAACTTCTCTGTTTTGCCATTCAAGAAAAAGGAAAAAGAAAACGAAACTGTTTTGATGCTGTAATTCCCCCCCCGCCCCCCCGCCAAATCACTTCATTGAAACCCTACGGTGCTCTAAGCGCAATTCTTGCTTTTTACGTTTGCCTCCCAAGCCCAACTGTCAGTATCACCGTCTACGTCTTTGATCCAGTTTTACTGTGTTCCACTCCTGCCTGTCTGTCTTCATAAGCTCTTCACTGGTCTTCTATTTTCTCTTCCTGGGCCATTCAAATACATAAATGTATATACAATACACACACACTCTACACATTATATATAAACAACCACCGTACTCTAAGCCACACCCTTCATCTTACCAAAAAATAAAAATCCCCTTCTGAAACTCAGTTCTGCAGTCTCACTAGATTTCAGGGAGAAGGAAGAGTACAAGAACGATTACTGTCACCTGTCTTGTCACTCTCCTCTCCTTTACCCTTACCTATTTAGGACCCCAACTTCTATCCTACCACCGTTAAGTAAACAATTTATATAATCTTCAGGATACCGGGTGTGTTTTCTGTTTTGTCAGGCACGCTGC